CAGAAAGGTATAAAAACATGTGATGAGTTTAGGCCACATTTTAACACAGTGTAAAGCAGGTATATGTGGTGGAAATGGCAGACTAGCTTGAAAGACAGGCTGGATACTCACAATAGCACTTGAATTTCCTGAATTTGGTAGGTGTCATCTACTACCATGTAAACTACTGTAACAGACTTTTAAATTGTCACCCTCATTATAGCTATTCACTTATTTGGATCACTAGTATGTATTTTGAAAATAAATAAATCTTTCAAAATTACATAAAATTAGCAATTTTACATTGCTTATAATATTGAGCCATTTCTCTCAATCAGAATAGAAAAACTGAAGAAAATATAAATATATATACACTGTGTGTGCATATATATGTGTGTGTATACACACACACACAAACACAAACACACACACACACATATATATATATATATATATTTGAAAACTTCAGATAAATACCAAAATGTTGCTGAGTCATAGACAGACTATATGAGCCAGAACTGAAGTCACACACACACACACACACACACACACACACACACACATATATATATGTATATATATATATATTTGAAAACTTCAGATAAATACCAAAATGTTGCTGAGTCATAGACAGACTATATGAGCCAGAACTGAAGTCAAGAGAAATGAAGCGGCACCTGGAGTTTCTATTCCCTGAAAGTTATTTGCTGATTTTGAAAGTAGTGATTAAGAGGCTGAGAGCATTTCCACAAACTCATGGGGCTAAAGAAACAAAATTGGAATTCAGGCCTATCAAAGTGGTAGGGTCCTGGGAAATATCCAGATTTTGATGAGCCAATTCATAGAAGTAAAATAGAATTGCTAATACATAGCTTCCTATATGAATTGAAGCCCAGGTTAAAATGATCTCAATCCCTAAATGGATTAAAATGATCTAGAATGTTTGTATCCTTATTCCAGTAGCCTGCCGGAAACAGAAGTAAATTTTCTCTGGAGGAAGGTGAAATCATCCAGGTTTTTGATATAAAGTATCTATTATTCTCTCAAAACATACTGAGAATATGAGAAGATAAGACTGAAACACAACAGAACACCAGAAAATAGAGTCTGAATAACAGGATCCATATAGTGCACGTGCCAAAACCAGACAGTAAAATACCTACATGAATGATTTAACAATACAAAATAAAAATTATTAATTAGGAATAATTACATTTAAATAATTAAAGATAAGATTGAGAATTTTGGCAGAAAACTCAAAACCATACAATAGAACCTAATAGAAATTTCAGAAACTTATGGTAATAGATTTGTAAACTTTAATAGGTGGTTTTCAACAGGAGAATAAACAT